TAGAAACCTGTGTGAATTCTCGCGCGTTCATTGCCTGATTAAAGTGTGTCAATATGAGGTCGACGTCAAGCCATGATGTCTCACGTGCTCGCGCTCATCAATTGAAAGCAAAGAATGACTTTCGAAAATTATTTACTAAAAATGTGGCGAAAAACAAATTGTACACACTTTGATCTATTGACACACTCTTGACGACATATAAAATGTAAAAAACTCAAGCGGACCCACGAGCGCTAAACATTGTGCAATTTCTTAAAAGAATTTAGTTTTTTTTTCGCGAATTGCAGGCTTGTGTCCAGTCTTGTATAGCGTACAATCAGAGGAAATATTGTGGATGCATGGAATATAAGTATCAACCAATCGACAAAACAGTATGTGACATGTTCAACTCTACAACTGGTGAGTATAGCAAGATAATGATGCTAGTTATGAATTGGTAAATGGGAACGCCGATAGCAACAGTATTTCCAGGAAGGAATATCTTAAACATCTAATATGAAGCAATGTGACAGATTGCCCGAGAGTCTTGAACGTCGGCTGACGTCCGTCCCGGCCACGATAATAAGTTAAATGTGAGGCGATTAGCCTGCGTGCGGACGAACCAAAACAGTCGGAGTTTTGGTTCGTCTGCAAGCAGGTTAGAGGCGATCAGTTAGTCAGTTGGTTGTTACTTGGTTCGGTTGTTAGTTACCATGCAGTCAGTTATTAGAGTAACGCACTTACTTAAGAACACCGGTAATAGACCCCAAGAAGTCTAAATACAGTCTTAAAGAAGGTCTTAAATTGCACATGACGCCTTTTAGAAAATAACTTTTATCCGAAAGAAAACACGCTGCCAAGCACTTCTGTGAAGAAAAAAATAGATTTTGAATTATATTTTCCGAGTCATAGATATTTAAAAACTGAAAATGCAAATGAAGTGACTTTTTTATCTTTTTACATTGTTTGTGTTGCACTTTTAGTTTGTCTTGTAAAGGAAAAAAAATCTCAATCACTAACAGTGTCATTGTTCTTTTTTRTTAGTTATGTGTCTGCGAAAGCTCTTGTTAAAAGCTAAAATGAGTCAATTAAACTGTTCTGCAGAATGTCCACCATCGTGCACGTGAGTGTTAGCACTGAAAACTTGTGGATCCTGTCCACATGTASCTGGAAATACTTCGGCATCCACGGAGTTTTTTTGGAAAACAATTAGGTCTGCTTGCGTCTAAACGTACCTAAAGTGGAAACTCTTAGATCGAGGACGAGCAATATTGCAAGCAATGTGTTTAATTTGAAAAGAGAAATGTTACGTTTTTATCTCGGTCGACCACATATGACCTACTCCATTGCTCGGCTTCTAATGGCCAAGTCCACTTTGTCCCTCGGTCTTATGAAAACCGCAATAACGGGGAATCACAAATAGCCAATTTGCGAGTTTTGACGTAGTCACTCACAAAGGAATCAAAACGTGGTGGCGCAAGTCACATATTGATATATTCTTTACAAAGTATTTTAAAATCTTTCTTTTTTGCTTAAAGGGGAAAAAACTATAGACTTACGTCATCATTTTCTTCATGGCCATCTAAAAATTATCTGGTAAGGTTGATAGAAAACGTAAATAACGCAACATTATTCTAAAATGTCTTCTTTTTTTTTTGAAAAGGAATCTTTCTCAGTAAGAGCAAACATTAATAGGACACTCGATGATTTAAGGTTGGTAAATGTTTTTCAGGAAAAATTGTTGCACCGCGACTTATTCGTTTCGAAGTTTGCTTTGATTTTGTTCTGTCCTTCGATGTAAGGGGCGGAGATTTTTGTAAACTCGTTTTCAGTAATTGGCTGATTTGCAGCATCCAAGCTACGACCCCAAAGTCGCAGAAACAAAATTGAAGTCGCGATGCAACATGAYGCAATGTTTTTTTCTGTAAAGCTGAAAATTGAAATATTCAAAAGGAAATTCTGTATGAAAGGAATCATTTAAATGTAATAACGCAAGGTGTTTTGTCTCATTTCAACAGAGATAATTTACTAAAGGTTCAAATATTCTACCAAGATCTTAACTATGAGCTGATTGACGAAGATATCTCATACCGGGTAAATGTAGACATTATTTCATAATTAAGAAATATAAAACGGCGTGCGTGTCTCCTCTATCCTCTGATATAAACACGTAGGGAGTTGAAAAACACGAGAGAAGCAAGCTTAGAAACACAAGTGTAGCAAGAGTTTTTCTTGCTTCTCGAGAGCAGACAAKACACAAGCGGACGTTTTATAGGTCTTTTATAAAATTTGCCTGTAAGACGTGTCTCTGTCCTCTGATATAAACATATTTTAAAAACATTATGATTATAAAATAAGTTCAATTGCAAAATGTTCTTGTTTATGGCCCGTTTACACTTGCAATTATTTCAATCGCCACTTTGTTCTCGCGTACCTCAAATCGTACGTGTAAACAGCCCTGCGATATTCGCGATCAAAAATCGCTGCAAGTTGCAGCTAAATTTCAAGCGTGYTCGAAACTCAGGCGATGGTCGCGCGACAATCGCGCTTCAAAAATCGCAAGTGTAAAAGGGCCTTACACAAAGATATTATAAATATATATTAACTAATACACCTTTTTACGCTCTAATTGCATTGTTTTCTTTTGTCCTAATTTTGTTTCACGGCTTTAATGACCTCACTCTACTCATGAGTTTCACGGATTAAGTGCGTTCACACTAATTACGTTCAAAAACTTCCATATATAATATGAAGTACATTTATATCTTTAGTTGATAAACTTTGTATCCGATGTTGGTGGTCAGCTTGGTCTGTGGCTGGGAGTCTCCGTGCTCAGTGGATTAGAAATAATCGAGTTGATACTGCTATTAATAATTCATTTTTACAAGAAGAAGAAGAAGAAAAAGAAAAAGAATGGTAAGAAGAAGCCAAATAATCAAGAGATGTACGCTAACAACGTGGACCTAAAAGACTATCGAAGCTACAGTGGAATCGAATTATAGTGTATAAGCGACTCAGAGATATTCTTTTTAATAATAGCTTCAATATATTTTTTATAAATCAAGACAAAAATAAGCAAAACAACAGTTAACTGGTTAATTAATGTGCTTAATTAGGAAAAATTTAAATAATTAAAATCATATGCATTCAAATGAAATGGAAGTAGT